AAAAAAAAAAAAAAAAGATGGGGTCTTGCTCTGTTGCCCAGGCTGGTCTCAAACTTCTGGCCTCAACCAATCCTCCAGTCTCAGCCTCACAAAAATGCTGGGATTGCAGGTGTAAGCCATCATGCCCAGCCTAACAACTACTTTTTGTTTTTTTATTTTATTTTTTGAGTTGGAGTCTCACTCTGTCGCCCAGGCTGGAGTGCAGTGGTGTGATCTCAGCTCACTGCAACCTCCACCTCCTGAGTTCAAGTGATTCTCCTGCCTCAGCCTCCTGAGTAGTTGAGATTACAGGCACACACCACCATGCCCAGCTAATTTTTGTATTTTTAGTGGAGACAGGGTTTTGCCATATTGGTCACGCTGGTCTCAAAATCCTGACCTTGTTATCCACCCAGCTCAGCCTCCCAAAGTGCTGGAATTATAGGCGTGAACCACCGCTCCTGGCTAGCAACTCCTTTTTAAATTGCAATACAACAAATAAACTCCCTTGGTTTAAATAGGTAGGAAGTAGTGATAGCCAACTCTCAAGTATCTGTGCCAACCTACAAAATCTTTTATTTATTTTTTTTTGAGACAGAGTTTTGCTCTTGTTGCCTGGGCTGGAGAGCAATGGCATGATCTCAGCTCACAACCTGTCTCCCGGGTTCAAGGGATTCTCCTGCCTCAGCCTCCGGAGTAACTGGGATTATAGGCATGCGTCACCACACCCAGCTAATTTTATATTTTTAGTAGATATGGGGTTTCTCCAAACATGGAGAAACAGTCAGGCTGGTCTTGAACTCCTGACCACAAGGTGATCCGCCCACCTCAGCCTCCCAAAGTGCTAGGATTACAGGCATGAGCCATGACACCTGGCCCAACCTGGAAAATCTAAAGCTCTATTCTCTTTGGCTTTTATTGAAAATTGCTGTGACTGGGTAGATCAGTATTAAAGCTATGTTTTGTCTGGGGAAGTGCAGGAGTTATGTATAGACTCTGCAAACACGTGTATCATCTCTGCCTTCTGGCTTACCCTAAACAGACTCAGAGAGCAGGACCCACGCTCATGGAAATCACATCATGCAGCCTCTGTTTATGGGCTTTTGCTCCAAGACTTTGGAAAGAACAGAAGAGAGAAGTCAGGAGTCCTGGGCACACCGGGCATCCTTACATACACACCAGACATCTTCATCAGTCTCCTTCTCTCTCCATCTCTCTCCCCCTTTCATTACTAAAGATGCCCAGACCTGAGCTAAGTGCCAAAACACAGGCTAGTTAGAAGCAACAGAAGCAGATGCTGGGGTGTGTTCACACATTGCTCAACAGTGTAAAGGGAAGGCCAATCTCTGGGGAAGAGGAGGAAGACAGAAGGAAGACAGTCTGCTTTCAAAGATACAACTGACACCAGATAGTGAGTCCAGTGGCATTACAGCCACCTGTCCTTTGCCGAGACACCTTCGAGGCTTTCTGGAAATACAAGGTCCAGATCTCCCACCTGAAAATGCTCAGACCACTCATCGGAGAATCAGAGTGCTCAAGAAGACAAAGACATATTGGAGAGCATCCAGAGAGAAAAGCCATATGATAGAAAGTCTAGCCGGGCACGGTGGCTCACGCCTGTAATCCCAGACTTTGGGAAACCAACGTAGGTGGATTACCTGAGGTCAGGAGTTGGAGACCAGCCTGGCCAACATGGTGAAACACGATCTCTACTAAAAATACAAAATTTAGCTGCACATCGTGGCGGGCATCTGTAATCTCAGCTACTCAGGAGGCTGAGGCGAAAGAATCCCTCAAACCTGGGAAGCAGAGGTTGCAGTGAGCCGAGATCTTGCCACTGCACTGGGGCAACAAGAGTAAAACTCCGCCAA